CAGCAGGAAGTCACCTCAGCAAAGGCCGCGATAAATTAGAAAACCGACCAGCAAGGTAGCTCTGCCCGCTCTGGGTCACAGCCTGGTTCTCCCTGCCCAGAGCAGACAGGCCCGCCCTCCACCCTCCTGGTCTTCACGTCCCGGCGTGCTTCGGGCCAGATGTCCTGATTCCACCACGACCCCCATTCATTCTTCCCGCTGACTCGGGAGGGAGGGCCACCCTGACAGCAGGGAGGACGGCCTGTTAGTGGGTGTCGGCCCCGGAGCACAGCGCGTGTTCTCTGGTCCCTGGCTGTTTGCTGTGCCTGGGGCAGCACCACACACGGACAGTGTCACACACGGGCTGCATCACACAGGTAGCATCACACGTGCAGAGTCACACACGGGCAGTGACACACGGGCAGTCACGCATGAGCAGCAACACGCATGAGCAGCATTGCACACGGGCAGATGACACAGATAGTGTCACATGGGCAGTATCACATGGTCAACATCACACATGGGCAGTGTCACACACAGGTAGCATCACACACGGGCAGCATGTCACACATGGGCAGCGTCACACACGGGCAGTGTCACACATGCAGCATCACTCAGTGTCACATACAGGCAGCATCACACGGGCGGCGTCACACACGGGCAGCGTCATACACGGGAGCGTCACACAGTGTCACACACGGGTAGTGTCACACACGGGTAGTGTCACACATGTGCAGCGTCACAAGTGTCACACGGGGAGCGTCACACACGGGCAGCGTCACACATGGGTGGCGTTACACACGGGCAGTGTCACACACAGGCACTATCCTATGTGCTTGGTCAATGGGGCTGAGACCCTCACTTAGCGCGAAGGGCCACTGAGGAGGGTCTCGTTGCCTGCAAGGCTTCTGTCCCCCAAGCAGCCCTGCGAGGGAGAGGCAGGGCAGACCTGCTGGAGACAGCGGAAGAAGCCAGAGGGGAGGCGTCTGTCGGCAGCCGTGGGGAGAGGCTGTGGATGAGGGTGGGGACCTTGATACGGGGGTGCTGTGTTCTTCGTGCTTCCGTTCCTCCTGCAAAGCGAAGCCCCTCTCGCTCACGCGCTGGTGTGAACACTCGGTGGTGGAAAAGCCCAAAGCCAGAATGGAGTCTGCCCGCGAGGACGACGTAGGGGTCACTCCAGGCTGTCTCCTCCTCCCTCTTCTTCTTTTCCTTCCGACTCACTCTAGGGTGTGTGTGCTCACTGGGTATGAGCAAGGAGAGAGGAAGCGCCCCCAGGGGTGCCCACGCCGTATCTTCTCCTCTGCTCTGCGGGGGTTCTGGGCGCACATGCACACACACCAGGCGTAGTTTTCAAGTGCTGAGTCCAGGACTCAAGCCACATAGCCACGTAGGAACCAGCTCCGCCCACCACCACGCCGGCGGCTAGCCCTCCATCTGTTTGGGGTCTTTTGTTTGGTTGGTTTTGGTTTTGTCTTTGCCATAGGGCATTGTGCTCATTGGAAACAGAGAGAGAGGGAAGGAGAGGAATCATCCCCCGGGGGATGGTCACACTGCAACCCGTCTCCGCCATTCTCCTCTTCCAATTTGGGGCATGCACATACATGTGCCCGGCGTGTTTTTCAAGCCGCCAGGTCTGGGACTTGAATGGCGCGGCCGGCCACGTGGGACCAGGGACCAGCCCATCTTCTATTGAATGTTTTTAATCTAGGTGAAATTGACATCCCACAGGACTAGCCACTTCCCAGGGAGCAATTCAGTGACATTCGGCCCTCCCCCAGGCCCACGGCCCAAACCTCGGTCTGGTTCCCAGCCTTTTTCTCACCCCAGAAGAAAGTGGGACCCTGCAGCAGCCCCTCCACCGTGTTCTCTTCTGACCCTGCCGTTTCCTTCTTGTTCCTCCTGTCCCCTCGCGCTAGGCCCGGTGACCCGGGGAAGGCGGCGGAAACCTCGCCCCCGGAGGACCTGCAGCTGACCACGCCGGAGATGTTTGAGAACCCGCTGTATGGGTCTGTGAGCTCCTTCCCCAAGCTCATCCCCAGGAAAGAGCAGGAGTCCCCCAAAATGGTGCGGAAGGACCCCCCGCCCTGCCCAGACCCGGGCATCTCGTCACCCAGCATCTTGCTCACCAAAGCCCAGGAGGCCGAGGGCAGCAAGGGAACCGGCAAGCAGGGCCCAGCAGCCTTCCTTAGCCCCACGCCCCGGCTGCGCTCCTTCACCTGCTCGTCCCCCGCCGAAGGCAGGGCAGCCGGCGGGGACAAGAGCCAAGGCAAGGCCAAGGCCCCTGCTGGCGCACAAGCCCCAGTGCCCACCAAGAGGCCCATCAAGCCTTCCAGGTCGGAAATGAGCCAGCAGACCACGCCCACCCCGGCCCCGCGGCCGCCCCTGCCCATCAAGAGTCCCGCTGTGCTGCACCTGCAGCACTCCAAAGGCCGTGACTATCGCGAGAACACAGAGCTGCCCCACCACGGCAAGCACCGGCCAGAGGAGGGGCCCATCGGCAGGGCTGCCATGCAGGTATGTGGGCTTGTGTGTGTGCACATGCACACATGTGTGTTGGTGTGTGTGTGCATGTGATCACCCTGAGAACTGCTCCAGAGCAAGGATTAGGGTCAGGACTTGAACCCAGGCCTGTCTGTCCCCAAATCCTTGCCTCTATGGGGACGATTGTTGAAAGAGATCAAGGAGGGTCTGTGGCTAAACTCAGCCTTTGCCAGGCCCAGAGGAATAGCCCCCAAAGGAATAACCTCAGTCATTTATATTTCATTATCATCGGTAATAATCACACTTACAATTTCCCAGGACTACCCCCTGCCCCCTGTAAAATAAGTCTCTGAGCAGAGCTAGTGGTGAGTAAGAGCAGATGCAGGAGCCGGACTAGTGGGGTTTGACTCCCAGCCCTCCTGTTCCCTGGCTTCGTGCCTTGAGCCGTAGTTTACTCATCTGTAAAAGGGGCTATTACGGTTCCATCTCATGGATTCATAGAGAGAATGAAACTATACCGTATACTGTTAGGAAATATTTCTGTGTGTAATCATTTGAATGACATAGTGCAATTGTATCATGCCTTACACATGTGGTATGCACACGCTCTATTACATACGACACACGTCTGTGTGCTACAATGTATTCGAAGCACTGAGGACAGTGTACTGGCTTGTTCAGCGCATGTCAAAGGCAGCCTGCCCTGGCCTGCAGCCTGCAGGGACACTGGGGCCACTCTGAGTGAGACCTGACGGGAATGGCGCCTGACAGCCCTCCTGTTCTTGTCCCGCAGTGAAGCCCGTGGTGAGCTGCCGGCCCGTTGGGAACCCAGTGAAGCAGCGTGAAGCCACGCGGACCCTGTCGTGGCACCTCCTGCTGGCTCCTCCTACCTCACTTCCCACGCAAGACTTCGCATTTTTCAGGAAAGAGCCTCACTTCTGTGTGGCCCAGGAGTGTGCAGGCTGCGGGACTTGGCACCAAGTGCCGAGGTTGGGAGGATAGCGTGACCAGATGATGGCCGTCCTGGGTCCCCAGCTTGATGTCGGTACTCGGGACCCCAGAGCCTGGCACAGGCTGCCATTTTAAAGAAAGGACCTGAAGCACCATTTAAGGTGGAGATACGAATAATAATAATAATATTAATAATAAGAACGATTGCGCGGGTGGAGCACGCACTGCGTGCCAGGCGCCGTGCCACATCCTTTCTAAACATTACGGCGGGATGACCTGAAGATCTGAGTCTCCAGCCCACTAGAACCACGTGCCCAAACCCGCCAGTTCGAAACCGTGTGTGTCTGGAAGGGTGTGGACAAAGCATTAAGAAGGGCCCTCCAGGAGGGCCTGGCCTTCGGGAGCTGAGGGTCTGTGTGGCTAACCCAAGGTACAAGGAGCCTGACCCTGTCTAGCTTGGTCATACAAGTTGCTTTAGCTAAAGCCCAGGGGTTCCGGTGTAGGCTCAGAGGCAGATCTACCTGGCATCCCCCAGGCGTTTATTCAGGAGCAGGGAAATTGAGTCCTGCCTCCGCCTGGGCTAGAGGTGCCCGTGGCGGGTACCCTGCACCTTTCCACTGCCAGGCCAGGGGTTGGGCCGCGCCCCCAACGCCCAGCCACTGTACTAACAGGAGAGTCCGCTGTTGCTTCCAAAGCTGAACCTCCAGGCTGGCTGCCAGGGGTGGGGCTCCGTCTCGGCCTCCAAAATGAGGTGGCCTTTCCTTTCGAGCTCCGCAGCTGCCAGCCCTGCTTCCTTGGTTACAAGGGGATGTCTTTTCTTAGGTTGCTTTTTGCCATAACAGAATTCACGTAGGAAACCAAATGCAGAAGTGAGTGAAAGTGCAGTGTGGGGGGGACGCGCCCCGCACTCCTTCGCGTGTCAGTCTGGGGGGGCCAATAAACTGTGCCTTCCTCACTCGGCTCCTGCCTGTCACATTTCCCTGACATTCAGCACATTGCCCAGACCAGATGGGACACCGTGGAGCCAGTGTGACACTGGTCCTGAATCAGAAATGGGAAGCTGTCCCTCCCTCCAAACATCCATCTCCCTGGGACCCCAGGCACCCTGCAGCCCCCCAACTTCCCAGGCATCCCCTCACGTCTACTGTGCTCAGCCTGTGAGTGCCTCCCAGCTGTACCAGTGCTTCTTGAGCTCCAGACGACAAACACAGGATGCCACCCCCCACCAGGGAGCAGTCCCCAGCCAGAGGCCCAGCAGGGGTGCCACTCGGCCCCGCTTCCAGGATGCTGGGGCCCCACTGCCCCACCAGGGATCTCGGGCCACTCAGGCTGTCCTGCTCACAGAAACAGCCCTGGGCTCCAGGCAGGGCTTTGGGGAGGGGTGTCCTTGGCAGCCACAGGGCACTGTTCACAGTGGCATGTGCAGAATGGAGGGGCACTGAGGGCCCACTCGCTGCTCAGGCCGGGTGTCTTTGCCCTGAAGGCTCACTTCCTGGTCCCTGTGCAGAACTGGCTCAAGTCCCTGGCTTCAGCCTTCTGACTCAGTAGACCAGGGGCCAGAGGGACAGTCGGAGGTGCCCAGATATCCCATAGGCTACCACCCAGAGTGGAGGCCCAGGGCACTGATGCTGATGTCCCCGGGGGACCCTGCCACTGCCAGGACAGAGTGCCCGCTGCCTTCAGGGACACCACTTGGAGTGGTATAACCACCACTTACACTCCCAGCAGGGTTTGCTCCGAGTTCTAGTCTCCTGAGCAAACACAGTGCCCTTGCCCTCCTCGCCTGTGGTCCACGCAGTCAGTGTGAGGCTGGTGTGGAGGGTCGGCCTGCTGCTCATGACAGCCCTGGGCTGGAAACGCTGTCTCCAACCCTGACAACCCTTCCTCATGGGTGGGGGCCGCCTGGCACCAGGTCTGAGGGCCGTCCCATCTCTCCTAACAGCCCCAGGTCTCCCAAACGCCCACGCCCCCTCCTGTGGCAAGGGAGAGGGACAGACAGGCCCACCTCTTTATCACCTAAGGGATCCCCCACTTTCTCCCCCAGGGCCACAGCCTGGAAGGCAGAGCGGTTTGGGGGCTTTCCTCACAAGAGGGCCCAGCTCCCAGGCAGGACTGCCGCCCCTTGGGCTTGCAGAGCTGCTGCGTGTCTGCTTCCTTTCAGAAGCCGCCTTCTGCATGGCCTCACGAAAGCTGTTCGAGGCACCAGGCTCCATGCCAGCGGGAAAGTGCTGTCATCTGAACAGGCAGTCTGGACCCAGGAGGGCCACCTGGGGGAAGGGGACAGGGACAGGGACAGGGCAGCCGGTTGGCTCCTCTTTCCTCCTGGGTTTCACTCTTTTTCATGGCCCTTTTTTCCACCCCAGAGGAGGGAAGTGCATGAGTCATTCAGAGGATGCTCCCTCCCTCGGCTACCTTCCCCAACCCCAGCCTCCCAGGTTCTTGTCTTCGCGTGTCCTTAAAATAGATCTTTTCTCTTGGCAAGCTGATTTCCATGGAGACCCAGCTCCCAGAAGTCCCAGGAGCTCGCTCCAAGGCAGCAAGCCCCGCTCCCAGCCTTCACTCCAGCAGGACCCTTGAGAACACAAATGGCTGGTCTCCCGCACAGCCCCCACCCCGTGATCACACTCTGAGAAGTGGCGCCCACAGGGAACAGCCCTGGCGGGTGGGGTCCAGGCCCTTGGTACCGGAGACGGACTTTGGCAGTGGGTGGCTGATCCGCGCCCGTTGGCCGTGTCTCAGCTCGCAGCACACCGGGCTTCCCTGGGGGGTCTCCTTCCTTCACTCAGCCCTTTACTAGGGGAGACCGTGGGGTGGGGGGTCCCGGCCTGTGGGATCACACACAGTGGGGATTCAGTATCTTGTCTTGTCTTTTCTAAACGTGTGATCTTGCACAGGTTACTCGGCTTTCCATCTCCTCGTCTGTAAAATGGGGGCCAATGCCTCCTGCACCTGTGCTCGGGAGGACTCAGTGAGCCGTGCCTCCTCGGGGCCTGGCCTGCTGTGGGGTGTACTGAACACGTCCCTGCCCTCTGGAAGACCAGGCGGCCTGGGAGGGCTCCATGGACACCACCTGCGAGGGCACACAGAGAGGAGCTGGCTCAGGAGTGGCCGTGAGGGCGGCGCCTGAGCTGGGCCTCCAGGGACCGTGGAAATGCCCCGGAGGGAAGCGAAGGTGAGAGCTCGAACACAGGCGAGCAGGGAAGTCCAAGGGGGAGCTGAGGCCTTCAAGGACTAGCTGTAGCCAGAGGGAAACAATGAAGCCAGGCCAGTTGAAGTCAGGTGGGCCGGTTGAGGCTGAGGAGGGACTAACTGAAGCCCGGGGCTAGTTGTTGAGGCCAGGGGCTAGTTGTTGAGGCCAGGGGCTAGTTGTTGAGGCCAGGGGTGTTAGCTGACCCTTTAGCCACACAGACCACAGCGGCTTAGATTACTGAGCCAGTAGGAGCAGACCTTGGGGCCTTCAGGGACTCCTTGAGTGGCGCCAGCCATCCCCCACGAGCAGTGTCAGGGGCATTGCCGTTCGGCTGCATTGACAGAAGCAGGCTCCAGAGAGCATCTCCAGGACCCCCGGCTGTCCTGCCCGGCCAGGCCCCTGAGAGACTTGGCTCCCACACCAGTGCCCCTCCCTCTGTCGGGGCTATCTCCTCTCCTGCCCAAGCCCTGCCTCACTCTGCCGGAATCGGGAGCCTTTGGGATTCAAGCAGCCCAGAACATGCCTATCATACGTTTGGAAAGGTCAAAACAAGGCAAGGGCCAGACAGTGGTGCAGCGGTGGAACGCAACGCTGTGCAAGGCAACTCCACCTGGGAAGGTTCTCAGTTCAAGTCCAGAGATCTCTTGAGTGTGCCAGGCAGGCCTCACCCATAATCCGCGGCTGACCGAGGCTAGGGATAGACTGTAGTGTCTGCCTGCACCGCCTGAAATTAAAACGCCCCACTCCAAGCCTGACTTGCCTCCCCCTCGTCCCAAGCCTGCGGACTGGCTGAGAGGACAGATACTGAGGGGGGCGGGGGGCCTGCGTTACCAAGAGGCAGGGCAGTGATGCTGACCTGCAGCCCTGGAAGGGAAGGAGGGCGGAGGTGCAGGTGGAGAGGCATCCTCTGCAGCCCCAGAATCCTGTTTTAGTGCCTAGGGTATAAATTGAATTCTCATACCTTATTTAGAGCATCACCCCAGAAATGGTTTATCTTGCTTCCAGTATTTTCAAAAGCACTCAGTTTAGGCAGTGGTTAGGAGCACAGACTCGAGCTGGGCTGTCCACATGTGCCAGAAATGTGCCAGGAACCGCACTGGGAAGGACCTGTGACAGTACCCCCCGCTGCGAGAAGGGGCAAGTACAGAGGCCTACCCAAGGCCCATGGGACACAGTCCTGCAGGGTGAGCTGGACAGCACCTGGGACTGCGTGCATGGCCTCGGCATGACCGTGAGCACAGGGTAAGGACCCTGGACTCAGGCCAGACGGCGCAGGCGCAGCTCCCAGCCCTCCCACTGCCTGGCTGAGTGCTCAGCCTCTCCCCGCCTCGGTGCCCACATCTGTGAGGAGGAGATAATCATAATGGCCTCCACCCCCGGGTCCTGGCATGATCAAAAGGCTGACAGTGACCAACAGCCCTGGCTGCGCATAAACCCTCCCTGAGTCAGTGCCATCCACACGCCGCTGTCACAAAACACTCATTTCCCCTCATCCCACTGCAGCTCAACGCCTACGAAGGCTACAGGAGCTTTGGCTGCTTATCAGCCCTTTCCCAGTGACCCCTTCGGCTGTGGTTCCAGCCAGATCCTGACTCCAGTTCTGAGGAGTCTTGTGGCTCTGACCAGGTCATCCTGGGGACCACACCATGACACCTATGACATGGAGCCAAGGCCCTATGCCCGCAAGGAAGGGCGTGGCGCCACCCAGCTCCCGCACTCACGGAGGAGTGCCAGCAGGCTCCATCAGCGTCAGCATCAGCATCCCGCCCTCTGTCCCCTGGTCCTAGGCATCTTGTCCAGAGCGGGATAGACAGGAATGAGGCAAGGGCAGGCCTGGTACCATTGGGCAGGCTGACCCCTGGAGGAGCAAACCTTTCTACAGCTAGAGCAGAACAGGCTGCCCACAGAGCAGGGCTTCTCACACCAGGTGACGCTCCATCTGGGGCTGGTGCGTTCTTTGGATATATTAGTCGGGGTTCACTATGGAGACAAACCAGCAGGACCTGTGGAGAGATCTAAGAGGAGACTCGTTAGAAGAACTGCTCATGAGATTATGGTGGCCGAGCAGTCCCACAGCAGGCCGTCTGCAAGCTGGAGAGCCTGGGTGCTGGTGGTCCAGCTCAGTCCAAACCCTCAGAGCAGGACGCTACTGATGCAACTCACGGTCCAGAGCTGAGCGCCTGGGGACCTGCAGGGCTGCAGTGGGAGTGGTGGAGTCCGAGGCAGGAGAGCCCTGAGTGCCGATGTCCCAGGCCACAGAAGGCATCTGAGAGGGCACCTGTCCATCTTCTGGACTTGCTGTCACTGGCCCCTTGTTGACTGGATGGTGTCCACCTACGCTGAGAGTGGATCTTCCCGCCCTTGTTTACTCAGATCTCAGGTGGATTTCCACTGGAAGCCCCCCACAGACATACTCGGATAATGCTCTGTCAGGTTTCTAGGGTCCAATCAAGATGATACCCAAAAGTAACTACCTAGACAGGTCATGTTTTGTGGATTTGGTGGTGGCTGGTGTGTGGGGGTGAGTGTGTGTGGGGGGGTGGTAGTAGTGTTTTTAGACAGGGTCTTGCAGTCTTGCTATGCTTCTGCCTTGGCCTCCTGATTAGCTGAGACCGCAGGGGTGCCACCATACCCAGCTCTTTGAGACAAGGTCTCGCTATGTGACCCAGGACAGCCTTGAGCTTAAGATCCTCCTGCCTCCTCCCGGAGTCGCTGCAATTGCAGGCCGGCGTCACCAGGCCCAGTCTTTAGGTTGGATGGGGAAT